GGACGCGAGCTGCAGGGAGCGGTGCGCTGAGGTGCACCGGTTCTTTCCCCCTAGGGCGGGCAGCGGAGGGTCCCACACAGAACTCGAGGGAGCGGGCAAAGCAAAAAATAAAAGTCGGTGGCCGCAGCTGTATGGCACCACCAGGAGGAAACAATGTCCGGTTCACTTAAGGGACAACTTTTGTCTGCTCAGGGCCGCCGGCATTTATTAGACGCCTACTGCGTGCAGGGCTCTCTGAGGGACTGGGGTGAGCCAGATAGAACCTTGTCCGCTGCGCTGCGGGAATTTAGCGTCGCTGAGGAGAGGGAAGAGACACTATCCCCACACCGGAAGTTTCCAGCAAATCCCCAGGGGAACTTTGCTCCTGGTATCGTTGCCACCTCCATCCAGAACTCACCTGGTGGACGAGATCGGGTTACCTGCCTGCTAGGGCTCTTTTTCCAGTCGTAGCGCGAGAATGATTGTGTCTTAAAGGGTTGTTAACAATATAAACCTTAAAGAGCAGTGTATAAAAAGCTTTTCATACAGTTGTTACCTTAGGAGGAAAATAATAAAAATAAGTGTACCTTACCCTTTGACCCCGCAAGTGCATTCCTGGTAATTTATTCCTGAAAAATAATTTCGAATAAGAAAATGAGACTATACACAAAAGATGTTCTTGAAAAAGTTTAGTTAGTAATAAAAGAAGGTGAATGAAGGAACAGCCTAATGATAAATTACATCAACAGGATAGACTTTTATGTAGCCATTTAAAATGACAATTGTGAAGAGCATATAACATAGAAGAGTTTACAAATAGTGCAAAGTTTAAAAGCAGAATAAAATGTTGTATGTATACCTGCAAAGGACCTCTGGTGGCACAGGGGTTATGCACTTGGCTAGTAACAGAAAGGTCAGAGGTTCAACCCAACAGCTGCTCCTCTGGAGAAATGACCTGGTGATCTGCTCCCGTAAAGATTACAGCCTTGGACTGAATTGCTGGGCAGAGGACTGTGGGGACCATGGTCTCGGGGAACAGCTAGCTCAATTGGCATAACACAGCTTAAAAAGACAATGCTGTACATCCTACCTTGGTGAGTAGTGTCTGGGGTCTTAAAAGCCTGTGAGCGGCCATCTAAGATACTCCACTGGACTCATCCCTTCGGGAGCAAGGGAGAATGAAGAGAACAGGATACAATGAAAAGATCAGTCCGAAGGACGAATTGTCCACAGCTACCAAGGCCTCCACCGGACTGAGTCCAGTACAGCTAGATGGTGCCCGGCTACCACCACTGACTGCCCTGACCGGGATCACAACAGAGGGTTCTGGACAGAGCTGGAGAAGGATGTACAACATAATTCTAACGCACAAAAAAAGACCAGATTTACTGGCCTAAAAGAGACTGGAGAAACCCCAAGAGTATGGCCCCCAGATACCCTTTTAGCTCAGTGGTGAAGTTATCTCCGAGGTTCACTGTTCAGCCTGGGAGTGGACAGCCCCGTAAAACCAAATGAGACTAACGAGGTACAGCAGTCCAGTGACAAGGGCTAGAAGGCAGAAGGGGACAAGGAAGCTGGTGATAGGGAACCCAAGGTTGAGTAAGGATATTGTTGATGTGTTGTGAGATTGTTAACCATTGTCATAGGGCAACATTTGTAGTAACTGTTAAATGAACAACTATTTTGTTCTGTAAGCCTTCATCTTAAGTGAGAATAGCAGCACAATTGGTAGAGCGTAGTCAATGTCACTGAACTCTACATGTAGAAATTTTTGAAATGGTGTATCTTTGGCTATGTGTATTTTCACCAAAAAAAAAAAAGGTTGAGAAGTTAGAGGGTTGACATGTTGTGGGGTTGTTAACCAATGTCATAAAACAATATGTGTACTACTGTTTCATGAGAGATTATTTGTTCTGTAAGCCTTCACCTGAAGTACAATTAAAAAAAAAAAAGATTACAGCCTTGGAAACCCTATGAGGCAGTCCTACTCTGTCCTACATAGTCGCTGAGTCAGAATCAACTCAACGGCAATGGGTATGGGTATACCTGCAAAAGTCTCTATGCACAATGTGAAAAAAGAAAAAAAAAAAACAGTTGCCTTCCAGCCAGTTCTGACTCATGGAGACCCCATGGGTGTCAAAGTAAACTATGCTCCATAGAGTTTTCAATGGCTGATGTTTTGGAAGTAGATTGCCAGGCCTTTACTTCCAAGGTGCCTCTGGGTGGATTGGAACATCTGACCTTTCGGTTAACCATTAGCACCACCCAGGGACTCCTATGCACAATGAAAACGAGTGATAAGGGTGACAGCATGGGGAATTTTTAGTGTGCTTTGTTAATTTCACTTAAGGCTGTTGTACTTCTAATGCAATTTTGAATTTTTATTTTGTAATTTAAAATATTTTTTATTCTAAAAAACATTTTTGAACGTCCCTCTTAGGCCTGCTGCAGACCCATAGCAGTCTATTTGGCCATGTCAACCAGGCTCTGCAGGGAGGGGGGCACCCAGATCCTCTCACCCTGAATGAACACCACTCCCTGGTCGATGTAGATCATGATGCAGCCAAAGATGTAGAGCTTCATGTCACTTCCCGATGACAGGCATGAAAATGTTGTGTTCTTTAGCCTTGGTCTGAATGAGGTCCTTAGAGTTCATGGGCATTCAGCTGGTGGCCATGCCAATGCCCCTCTGGGCCATGTCCTCATACTGGAAGTCCATCCTCTGCTCCATGTGGGTAAGATAGGCAATGTTCTCCCTCACTGAGGGCTGAATGTAGGCACCGACATTGAAGGACACTGCCCTCGTCATGATATCAAGTGTTTCATTAAATTTGTCCTTAATGGATGGATGTGCCAGCACTTGGTCTGAGAACATGGATTTCTAACCCTGGTACCACCTGGTGATCTCCTCATAATTTGGGCTGTTACTGAGCCAGGAGCACAGAACCTGATGCCACTTGGGGAAGAAGCACTTTTCAAGAAGCTCTACCAGGCTAGAGATAGAGATCATCCCTTCCCAGTCAATCATCTAATAAAAGGCATCCATGTACTGCTAGGGGGTGGTTAGTGACGAGCTCACCAAGACACATCCCCAGCTTGGGCATGATGATCTTGACCATGAATGCTTCCCAAGAGCCAGGGGTGAAGATATCTTTCCAGGGCTGGAGGATGGGCTTAGCAGAGGAGTCACTGGGGTACCACTTCTGAAGGGTGCTGGACAGCTTGCTGTGGATGGGGGAATACAGTGGCTCCAGCCACGCTTGCATGAGAAGAAGCCATGGATGGATCCAAAAATGGATGGGAACAGTGTCAGTCAGTGGGTTCCAGTTTTCCACCTCCTTCTGTAGCTTGGGGAAGACAAGCTGGTCCAGTATGCAATCTAAATCCACGCAGGAATAATGTGTATCAAGCTATCCAAAAATTCCACCATTGGGTCACAGTTCCTTGGTTGCCACTGGGTAACAATATTTCAAACAAAAGGCATCCAAACTTCCCATACCAGCCTCTGAAAGGCATCTGCCAAGAGGTGCTGACAACTGTGGGACAAGAGCTGGTCATTCTTTACGAAGCTTTTAGACTTGGAAATTATTTTGGTGCCATACATGCAGTCTTCAGGGGGATCCCACTCCTTGAAGTACTCCTTCATGAGTGTATAGATGATGGCCACAGTGAGGTCCACCCAGTCAGACATCCGTACTCCTCATAGTACTTTTCCTGGAGGGTTTCAAATATGCAGACACATTCATAGAGGGTGAGAGGTTTGCCACCGTTAGGCTGCATCTGCCACTCACACTCCTCTACCATCTCCAGGACCTTGCTGAGGTTGGAGATGACCCTCTCCTCATGGTCCAAGACCTCGGACATCTTCTCCAACTCATGGGAGAGGTTGATCACCATGTCCCGCTCATAGTGCAGCTGCCAGTCATACTGGATGATCTCCTATTCCATGAGGTCGATGAGCAGCTGCAGGCTGTGCTCCAGCCAGGGGCATATTACCCAGTAAGTAAGGTAAGCACAGGCTTACTTGTGCTTACATACTAATCTGAAGTGAACTATTTCACACGGGTTTGAGTCCATGTGAAATTATTATTACAGATTAGTAAGCAAGCACAAGTAAGCCCGTGTTTACCTTGCTTACTGGATAATCCATCCCTGTCAGAGATTGTAAATTTGAAAAGAGGCTTTGATTCTGTAGGAAGGTGTTGTGGGGTTGGGAGAGAGACAGTTGTCAGCCATATCTAGAAGAACAATCTTTGATGTGGTGAAAAAAATGTGAAATTGTTCACTAGAGATGATCAGGTAAGCAAGGTAAGCACTGTGCTTACCTTGCCTGTTGGATAATCCACCCCTGGCTCCAGCTCAGA